GTGTGGAATGATACTTGCTTTGACCCCCCCCTACAAACATATCAGAATGAATGCTCACTAAATAGCGGTCGTCTAATCTCCCTGCAAACAAATCAGAATTAACACTCAATAAACAGGTCATTGCCCTCAGTGATAGAACATATGCTTGCAGCATAACAATAATGATTTTTATTTATTACTTATACCCTGCCCATCTGACTGGGTTGCCCCAGCCACTCTGGCTGGCTCCCAACTTAATAAAAACACAGTGATGTATGTAGGAGGTCACAGACGGAGCCTCTACATCACTGTTAAAGGCTCTGGTAGCAAAGCTGGAAAAATCCTTTCCGTGAAGCACATTTTGAATGTGCAAATGAGTGGGGTGAACAGGAAACAGATAGGAGGATAGTCCGTTAGATGGCTGGAGTGCTACCCCAGTAACTTCCATCAGCTATCACCTGCCTGCCTTCTTATTTACAACCAGTCAAAGGAGAAGCTCTGCCTGTTAGCTTCACCTTCCTCAGTCTCAATGTTGCCCCTGTAGAACTCTGCAAGGATGTGGACAAAACTAAAATTAGTTGTTTCTGTCTGTCATTGGTTCTGCCTCCGCTTACTGCTGGTTCCAGTGAGCTCCAGCCACCATAGTCCCAATCCCTGAGTTTCTTCATCTTGTCCAAAACAATGCTTAATATATTCCCCTCTGAGAGGAGCCATGGCTTCTGTAATGTTAATAAAATCCTCACATACAAACACAGTTGAGAACACAGCTGATGTTGATTTGCAACATGCTGAGGCCACAGCTTCCACTGTGATGAAATGAGCTGTTGTCTTCGATTAGGAAACATATACTGAAATGAAACGTATGTACTGCAGGGATGTTATCGTAATGGCCTTGGAATACAGGAAGTAAAACATGTGGCCCAAGAGATCTCATTTACTTAGATATGCCAAACTTCGGAGCTTTACAGGGAATATTGGAAGCTAGAATGTTCAGTTAGTGCTCCCAAATGAAGGACTATTCAGTGATAATTAAACCAAGTGAAATAGCTTTCAAAACACTTAATCCTTCATTAAGCTCCTCTTGCCTACAGCAGGCATTAGTCTCATGAAAACTATTACTTGACCCACCTTGTCCCACAAATGAAGAACCTAACCCTTCCTTGGAGCACAAAAATTGTGTAGTATAATGTGAAAAAAGGAAAGCAGCATTACTACAGCAAAGAAGTATAGAACCTCTTCCATCCATCTACCGTAGATTCCATCTATGGCTAGAGTGCCACTCCTGTCTCATCAGCTCCCTCACCAGGAAAAGCACCAAGATGAGACCACTATATTGGTGCGGCCGTACTTTTGCAAAATATGCAGTCAGTTAAATCCTGAAAGCTATGCTTTTGCAAGGTGGATGATGCCTGAACAATGCCCAAGTATGCCCAGCATATCAGCTGATACCACAAAACAAAAGGATAAAGCTGTCTATATCCTTTGTAAATTTCTAGTAGCTTAAATGTAAATTTATAACATTTAAATGGAAATGGTGGCATAGGCAGATTACTTTATGACTGGAAATACAGTGGTACCTCAGTTAAGAACTTAATTCGTTCTGGAGGTCCATTCTTATTCTGAAACTGTTCTTAACCTGAAGCACCACTTTAGCTAATGGGGCCTCCTGCTGCCGCCGCACCGCCGGAGCACAATTTCTGTTCTTATCCTGAAGCAAAGTTCTTAACCCGAGGTACTATTTCTGGGTTAGCGGAGTCTGTAACCTGAAGCGTCTGTAACCCGAGGTACCACTGTACTACATAAGTTTCTTTGCTTATTGCATTTATATTCTGTTTGTCTTCCACAGCCTGTAAGTCAGAAAGGGGAAACCTGTGGTCCTCCAGGCACTTCCGGACTACATCTCCAGTCATCCTGTGCTGTCTGGAGCTGGTAGAGGTTGGAATCCAACAACATCTGGAGGGCCACAGGATCTCCACTCTTGCTGTGTGGGGTTCCCAGCTGTTCCCCCACCATCCAGGCACTGAGTTGACTTTGATCTCCTTAGATTTAGCAAGGTTGCTGTATGATATGCCTCCCCACCATGTACTGGGAAATGATGCAACGCTTATTATGAAGATTCATGTTAAGAAGAGCTGTTGAAGACAGAGGTACTTTATTTGTATGGGAGCCACTTGAAGACTATAGCTCACTGGCTTTCTTGAATCATCTGTATGATGTTGAGAAAGTGGATGGGGGGAGTTTTTCTCCTCTCATAATAGGAGAACCCAGGGCCATACAATGAAGGTGAATTGGAGATTCAGGACAAACAAAAGGAAGTGCTTCTTCACATAGCACATACTTAAGCCATGCAATTTGCTACCACAATATATATTGACGGCTTTAAAAGGGTGTGTGTGATACTTTTCATCATTGAATTTGTCTAATCAATGCCTATTAGTTACAGTGGCTATATATTAGTTCTAGTATCAGAGGTCGTATCCTCTGAATACCACCTGCTGGCGCATCCAAGCATGAAGGAGCTATTGCTCTCATCTCCTGCTTGTTTCCTTGGGCATCTACTTGGCCAGTGTGGGAACATGATGCTGGACTAGGTGACCCTCTTGTCTAATCCCGCAGGGCTCTTATGTTCTTATTGATAGCTATTTGTGTTGTAGGCACAGTCACTATTCTATGACTGATTCCTGCTTGTTGGAGCACCTGAGTCTGGTTTATGAGTCTTTCTGTTGGTAGTTTGGTATCACAGAACGGCACTAGATATTGGTCCCTTTAACATCTATGAAGGTGAAGCTACTAGGAACTTCTTCCCTTACCCTAATGGGTCACCCATATCTCTAGCATTAGAACCGAAATCACATTTCATACATTTATTCAGCTCTTTTTTAGAATCAGTGAGCTTCTTTGTTCTCATATAATGAAGTATCATGACTTTTTGGCATTCTCTGATTTATATTTTAGTTTTCAAAAAAAATATCTCAGTTCCTTTGCTTGCCATTTCAGCAACACAGCTTGGTCTCATAAAAGGTCATTATCTGCTGCCACAAAAAGCTTACATACATCATATGTCAAATGAAAGTATTTCATAATGTGGGGGTGGATAGTGAGACAAGAGTTTCTCAACTAATTAGCAGCTAGAGGTCTCCGACTCTTCCTTTATAGCCAAAGGAGACCATTCTCTATCGTCGCTAAGTGACGTGTTCTTCATTTGCTTGTTGAATGGCTGGACTTGTTTTTCAGCAATTTTTTCTTTGAGAAGACTCTGTAGGTGGGTTTTGCTTACTGCTTAGGATCAAACTAGCTGAGTAACTCTGGAGTTTTTTCTACTTTCTGATTTCCCTGGTGTGTGCAACTTGAGTCATTTGGGATAGTTCACCTGATTTCTTCTTATGTTCTACTTAAATATGCTGATCTGAGTTGGGGGAGAGGAGATGCTTGGATTGGGCACTGGGCTTGGCGATACTTAGCATTTATATAGCTTTTCTTTAGTGTTCAAACTGCTTCACATACATTATTTTCACAAGCCTCCCCCCCAAAATGTGAGGTAAGTCAGTAATTCAATTGTATTGCTGCTGGAGAGGGAGTGCTGAGGCTGAGAGAACTGAGGCTTGCCCAAGGCCTTCTAGCGATGAGGTAAGATTTGAGCCAATAACCGTCTAGCTCACAGCATAACCTTAAGCATATTCACTCTCTTCCTAAGTTAAATGAGATTTTCACTGGAATTATTCTATCAAATGCTGGAGTAGCATAGCCATTACTATACCCCACCAGCATTTGTTAGAAGAATTCCAGAGTTACAATTCTATGCTTTTTAACAGTTCCTAATTCAAGGCCTCACAGTCTGATACATCTCACATGATTGTTATGACAACTAATAAAAAAATAAAGACTTGCCTCTTAGCTGAGCTTTTTGACAGGGTAGCTAAAAGACACAATATGCATTGTGTAATTGTTTAAGGCCAGGCTTCCTCATTATAGGCATTCTTACACTGTAGCACTCTATAGGTATTCATCATCACTTTCACCTATTCCTTTTCACAAACAACCATGCTAATATAATATATACAAAGTTTTTTAATTGCTATAAGCCACTTTGAGTGGCGCATGGACTCTAGAAGTCTTTATTAAATAGAATGGTAACTATGAAATGAGACATGACAGGAGAGCTGTGATCCTCCTCCTCCTGCTGTTGTTCTTTTCTGATAAAGATTAATAGCAGCCACCATGCAAGGAGTGTATGATGCAATGAGGACCATGGTATTTGGAAAGCGAAGTTAACCCTATCCCCTATCAAATTTTTCTAATGAAAAATTATTTGTCCCATCAGGCAAACAGCAATTGGAGTAGAGGGGATGATTACTATTATGAAAACAGTCCAGGGAAAAAATATTTGGGGGGAAATGGAATAAAATAATATACGTAGCAATAAAAGAAAAAAGTATTTCAGGCTGTAACAATGGTAAAAATGTATTAATTTGAAAACTGTATTAAGTGGTTCATGGATTGGTGAAACATTTGTGTAATTGATGTATTCAAACAATCTATTACAGATTAATGATGATGAAATACCATTAGCTGAAATAAATTAAGTCTGGCTAAACTACCATTAGTCTTTGTGGGAGATGACTACATTTATGAAAGAAATGTCCACATTTTACCATTGTGGGATAATATTTGTGGGATAATAGATTTAGAGACCAAGTAGTCTACAATGGAGTATCAAATCGATAATGAAATTAAAAAGATGGGAGGGAGAGAGACGGCTTGGTTTTTTTCCTAGTTAAGAGTTCTTTTATGTGAAAAACAGATATTTAATAGATAGTATAGAATGTGGAGGGGAAACAGAAAAAAAAACCTTCTCCCCAGCATCACAATTCTATTCGAATCTCCCCCACCTCCCTTCTGTAGCTGCTAATGAAGCTGTAAAAAAAAGCAGAAAATGCAATCATGGTCTTTCAATATTACATCAAGTTTAGTGCTCAGCTGCCTCTTTACTAACTACTTTTCATATTTATTTCCACCTCTAGATACCTTTATCTATGAACGTGTCAACATTTCTTGCATATGACCAGCCTACAATAAGTTACTGTGGTGTACACCATGAACTTCTTGCTCATAAGCCCTATGAATCTAATGCACAGGAAGAAACAATGGAAACACACTTAGAGACTGATTTGGATCTGAGCACAATCACAACGGTAGCACGAAATCAGTGATACATTCAGTGGCCTGAAATACAGCCAAGGGTTGCCACCATTTTTTTTTCACATGAAGGATGAAATGAAGATTTCTTCAGTAATGGATTCCAAAATTCCTGTTCTGTTGAAATTTACACATTCAGATACAGATTGTTTGATGTCTACAATTTATAATTAGCTAAGTTGTGCAGTATTTTTTGACTTTAAAAACAGAGTACAATCCTTAAAATAAATCTTTTTTCAAAACTCATCCTACCTACCTGTAAAAAAACAAAACTGTACAGATCTAATGTATTTTTTCATATTGTAAAGTTTCAATATACTGAGATGTACTGGTATGTACAGGACCATGATTTAATTACATTTTACTTTGCAAATTTCAGTTTCTAAAATTTTAAATTAACAAAAGTTTTATCTTGTGTTATATTCAGAGTTTCTCAGTTTTGTAGAAACTGTTTTGTTACTGCTTTTGTGCCCAGAAAGAAAACTTCACTCTGAAATTCTGTGCTGTGCAAAATCTGCACACTGACTGTGCAGGAAATTCTATCTATTTGTTCCAGAAATAATCCATTAACCAAATGGAGGGGTGGATTGTACAAGATTACAGAGACAATGTTTTTTTTTCCTATTAAAAAGAATCAAAGTTTTTTTAAAACAGTTCTCAGAATTAACTGTTGCCTTGTATTGCAGCCTGGTTTGTAAAGCAATGAAATGTAATGATAAAGAGGGATATTTTATCAATGCATCTGTGAATGAATGACTCATTGTCCTATTCCTTCATGTAGTACTGCATCAAAAAACAGAAAAACACACCACAGTGAATAAGGGGACTGAAGACAAAGGAAGTAACCACAGCAACAAAGTTACATTCAGTGAATGGCTGACCAGGATGCAGTTTTAGTTAGTTTCTAAGTAATTCAGATAAAGCAACCAGGTAGCCATGACAATTAGATGTATTTTAATTCTTCAAGTATTCAATCAGTACAAGCACCAGCAGTATGCTTTTATGGCTGTTTCATCCTGAAAATTAGCCAATAAGCCAATTCCCTGGTTTTACAATTAAAAATAAGTTTTGGGATGCATAGTACAATGCATGTAAAAAGTTGTCTAAAGAGGCCTGAATGTTGGCTTTTGGAAATGCCATTTGGACATAACAAATTACAGATGGAGAATAAAATGTAGAGACAAGTCACACATATCCTTTTGGGAATAGGGTTCAGTCATGTTGCCCTTTTTAGGGGTTATCTCTGACTGAATGAAGAGGTAGTAAATTAATCCTCCAAACAATTGTCATGGGCACAGATCCTTATTTGGCACAGCCACAGAAATGGATTTTAAGGGCAGGTTCACATATTACCTAACCTCCTACCCTTCCCACATGCATATTTGCACCGTTGTATGTATTCTGCAACATGCATATAACCTGAATGTTCCATGCACAGGCTCATTTGCTTTTAGATTTGATTGACATCATCTGACACACACACACACAGCTGTGGCCAACTGGGAAAGACTATATGAATTGGAACTACATATGGATGTGCCCTTTACATGCAGAACCCACATTATCTCATTGCCTAACCAGTGTAATAAGAGGCATTTATGCACCCACCATCCAACCTTCTTGCAGCTGGGTCCTCCTTTAAGCTAATGCAGGAACCAGCCCCCAGTTTGGATCTGTGCTCATGACTGCCTACAGGTTACAGCTACTTTACCTCCATATTCAGTTAAAGATGACAAAAATAAGTCAGACAAAAAGAAAGCCCCCAAAACCATAATGAGATTATCTCCCTCTCCTCTATATTTACAGGTAACTTAATAAGGAAAGATATTGACCAAAAAGTAAGAAATGTTTTATTGTATCACAGAAGCAATTATAGAGAAAGACCTCTAAATAATATTTAAATATTTAAGGTGTCTAAAATCTAAATAAATTGGTCATGAATTCTAGCTGTTCATACAGAATGTCTGCTGACTGCCACCCAATTACTGGTTTTTGAGAAGGAAATCTTCATATTTTAGCTTCAATAATGCTAACAACACTGGACTATAGCAACAGAGGTTACAGTACAATTACTTTAAAAATATGGAAGGTTACATAAGTTAAAAGATTCATCCTCTGGGGTTCTGACTAGGGATAAGTATTCAGAATTACCTGGGTTTTCCAAAAGGTTAGGGCAAAACGTTTCATACAGTAGTAACAAATATCTTCTTTTTATATATAAATAAAGAGAAATTATTTAACCACAAATCTATTTTTCTCAATACTTCTCCCAAATATTTTACAGTAACTTCATGAAAGAAAATTAAAAACTATGAAATCCACCATTTGTATAAAGCAACTATTATTGGAAAAAAATTACCTTCGGAATATTGTTAAAAAGAAATATGGGAATACAAAATGTCAAAAAAGAGTACACTGTATTATTTATTTAGCATCCTAGATTTTGTAACATATTTTGCATAAATTATTTGCTATTCAAAATATTTTATTTGTCATTTTTAAAATTCATCCTAACTTTCATAAGCTTTTCAGTTTCTGGTTTCTTTATTATATTGGCATAATGATTCTTGGATTTCTGATCTTCATTTAGTAATCTGGGCCACAGCCGTGAGGTTTGAAAATGGATTTAGCTACTTGCAGTGGGTGGTAAAAAGAGGTGGGGGAAAAACTGTCTTCACATGTACTGCATGAGAAAAAACATTTCCAGACCTTGACTACTTTAAGTATGTAGTTTAAGTATGGAATTAATTTATCTGATTGTGATGGAAGTTTAGAGGAAATCTCAGTGTTCCCAAATTATGAGTCTGGTAACAAAAAATACAAGTTCAGTAACAAACCAATATAATATTATGTTCTTTCCTCACTGTTGGCTCATGAAGACCACTTCATATGTTACTACAGCAGGATGGTCACTAGCTACTAAAATCAGAACTGTGTGGATGCCTTTCTATGACTATGTTGGCATGGTTAAAACTGCTGCACCTATGTGTATCTATGCACTTCACATAAGGAAAGGCCTCCATGTTCAATATTATTGGTAGCTACCATGCTGAACCTCAAACAACTTATAAAGTCAGCCTTCATATGGCTTCACACACTCTTCAGATGTTTGTTAGGGCTGAATGGCTGCACAATATGATGGGGGAAGAGGCAGAACTGTAATAGAAAGCTCCTCCACATACCTAGATGTGATGATTAAAACATGTAGAGATCCCTATGCATAGACATAATGCTTTCCACACATGTTCCAAAGAGTGAGCCTTGGTTTGGAGAGGAATTTGCCTCTATACTGGTGCTCCCCACCCTGCAATATGTTAACTTGGCTCTACTATAACATCTAAAAAGAGCTTAGGTGGCCTTTGGAAAGACTCTTGCCTCTCAAGAGCACCAAACCATATGAGGACATGAAAGGGGTTGGTTTGTAGAGCAATTATGTGAGGTACTCATCCAATCTTATTGAGGAGGAAATAAAGGTAAAGGTACCCCTGACTGTTAGGTCCAGTCACGGACGACTCTGGGGTTGCGCGCTCATCTCACTCTATAGGCCAAGGGAACGTTTGTCCGCAGACAGCTTCTAGGTCATGTGGCCAGCATGACTAAGCCGCTTCTGGCGAACCAGAGCAGCGCACAGAAACACCGTTTACCTTCCCACCAGAGCGGTACCTATTTATCTACTTGCACTTTGATGTGCTTTCGAACTGCTAGGTTGGCAGGAGCAGGGACCGAGCAACGGGAGCTCACCCCGTCATGGGGATTTGAACCACCGACCTTATGATCAGCAAGCCCTGATCAGGTTTAGACCACAGCGCCACCCGGATCCCATGAGGCGGAAATAGGAGTGCCCATTTTCTCTTACCACAAAGAAGCCTTCTATTTCCTGTTAGCTAAATGAAAAACTCTCTCTTTCTTGAAGAAAGAATTATTACCTGTTTATACCATGGAAGCAGAATAAGCATATACCCGTATTTTTTGCTCTATAAGTCGCACCCAACAATGACGCACCTAGTTTTTAGAGGAGAAAAACAAGAAACAAGAAAGCAACGCAAAGCCTCTTGAGCGAATAGGCAGGAGAGCTCCCACTGCGCTCAAGAGGCTTTGCGTGCGCACCGATCCCTCTTGCTCTTCTGGCTTCCGGGATAGCCACGCAAAGCCTCTTGAGTGAAGAGGCAGGAGCCGCGCACTCTGTCCCTTCCCCCACCTCCTGCAAAAGCCAGCAAGAGCCACACGCTCTTTAAAGGGAGAGCGGCTCTTGCTGGCTTTTGCGGGAGGTGGGGGAAGGGACAGAGCGTGGCTAAGCCAGATAACAGATAACTGGGATAACTGCGCAGCCTCTTCAGGGCAGCGGGATGAAGGCTCCCCGCTGCTCTGAAGAGGCTGCGCGTGGCGAAGCCAGAACAGTGAGAGGGAGTGCTGCGCAGCAATCCCTCTCGCTGTTCTGGCTTCTGGGATAGCTGCGCAGCCTGCATTCGCTCCATAAGACACACACACATTTCCCCTTACTTTTTAGGAGGGGAAAAGTGCGTCTTATAAAGCGAAAAATACAGTACTGAATACAGAATTTTTGCTGCTCCTCTTGCTGTTGGCATCCGTCTGACTTGGGAGACAATGGATAATCAAGCACCTGACAGGCCACAATATAATGCTGGTGGGTGGGTGTCATTTGCTTGCTGGGATTAAGCTATGCAGATGCTTCAGCTGGCTTTCATAATGCTGGACACATTTCATATTTGTAGCCCAGTAATTACCTTCAAATAACTAGTTGTATTATTACTAGGGTGCCACTTTCATTTTATCATACAATGTGCAATAATCAAATAATTGGGAACTCAGTTTATTAATGGAAATTTTCAGTAGCTGTTAAATTAATGAAAACGTTAAAAACCATCAGCCTCTTCTCTTCTGGAAGGATGACTGATAGCTGTAGATACTACACCCACCTGCATGCTGTTCATTCTAATGTGATCACTGTTGATAGTTCATAAGCAATGAGCCAAGATTAGAAGGGCCATCTGCACAATGGATCCTTTCAGGTTCCTTCCAAAAATAGCAGAGAAAGCATGGAGAAACCCAGGATACATGCAGATGTGTTTGTGCTCTGGATCCCAGTGTACATGGCTTGCAGTAATTAAACAGTTAGGTAGGTCTGACGCAGTTGGGGGGGGGGAATAAAAAAAGTAAATAATTGTCCAGTAGCACCTTATAGACCAACTAAGCTTGTTCTAGTATAAGATTTGTGTGTGTGCACACTTCTTCAGATATTAAATAATTACTAGAAGACAAGAAATAAATCCATTTGTCCCAGCCATCAGGGTGTGTAGCTCTCTAATAGACAATTAAAGGAAGAATTCAATGTTGTCCTCTTCCAATGGTTCAGTCACCACAAGCATTTCAGCTTGCCTGATGGAATGATTTCCTCTCTCTGCCTCCCCACGTGCTGTTCTGGGTGCTCTCCCGACCCCCAAGAGCTGATGGAGCAGGAAGAGAGGGGGGAAGTCACATTGCACTGGTGGGACCCACTGTGCTGTTTCCCGCTACTGCGCCTGCTTAGCTGAATCCAGCCCTATGTCCTTAGTTTTAAAAGATGCACACAGAAAGCTGTATTACCCTGTGTGAGAACACTGGTCTATCTCTAGCTCAGTTTTATCTACAGCTCTACAATGACAAACAGCAGCTCTCCAGAGTTCTCACACTGAATCACAAGATCACACAGGTGTAGAAGAACACCAAACATATTTCCAAAAATATGCACAGACTACAGCTATACAGTAAATAAAACGTTTTAAGTGTGTTGTAAAGGGCATTATACAAATGTGACACTAGATGACGATGGTGAGCTATGGCAAATTCAATATATATTTTTCAAAACTTTTTTTTAAAAAAGCATTTTCACTACATTTTTTTATTTGTGTCTAGATTCCACCCAGGCTGGGGTAGAAGGCAGCCTGAGCATGCCAACAGACTATTTCCTCTATAGGTACAGAGTAAGCATTCCCAGCTTCTGTATTATGCAGGAGACTTTGGGTACCAGAGCTCAGCATTAACTCCTGAAAGATTCTGGTAGCCTTAGCAAACCTCAAAGCCAGCTTTTCTAGATATTAATAGTGGTCTGGTCACATAAACCTGAAGGATATGCTAATGTTTTTCTAAGTAAAGACAGGTAAAATCTACTCAGTATTTGACTGTATCCTTATGTAACAAGAGTTACAATAGCTGGGATAAATGCAGTAGAAGCTGGAATACTTGGTTTTAGCTTACCGTAGTTTATTTGGTTTATTAATTTATATTCCACCTTTCTGTATAAAACACAGAAGTAAGGCAGCTTACAATAAATAAATAGGGCAATAATAAAACCAGCATCAATTATGAAAATGCACTAGAGGTGGGGGGGAATTCTTTAAATGTATTTCACAGGAGACACTGGTGCAAATCTTTTAAATATTCTGGTTCATATGTCCCTGCCACTAATTACATGGTTAGGAGCTGAATTCAAGTTCACTACAACAGTGGGCTACAGGGCAACTGGGTTCTTCCTTAGAAAGAAAGGCACTTTATGGGGAGGGAAATATTCTTTTCATTTAATGTGGTTTTTTCTTCAGCTACTGCTGTGCAAGAGAGAGGAAATAATGAAATAACATGTTTTCCTTTGCTGTTAACATTAACTGAGTCTTGGACAACTGGATCGTGATGCTGTACTACCACCCAAGCTAACAATGTCCTTGCATGCAAGCTATTTGTTGTATAAAATGCTTATTTCATGTTCTTCTTAGCAAATCTTCACACTCACTAGAATGAGAATTGTGGAGGCTCACAAAGTGCCATCGGGTCCTCTGCATCTCTAAGTGATGAAGGTGTGAAGATGTCACAGTGATCTTGAATACAACGAAGATTGAGAGGTGATGCTACAGCGAGTGGTGCTGTGTGCTGAGGTGCTCACAACAGCCATCAAGAGAATATGCAACACTTGTTCAGAATGCACGAAAAGGTAAACAAGTAAGTTGCTTAAGGAAAAACACTTCTAAGCAAGTAATTTGTTCAAATAAAAGAAGCCTTGCATATGAAAAGCATGTAAAGAAGGTGCAAAACGTAAGTGATTTTTTGTGTTTCATGTTTCCACTTTTTAACATTTAAAAAATAACATGGGGAAAAGGGACGTGGGCATCTTCTTTTTGCAACTCTCTTTTCTCAGCACGGGAAAAACACTAAAAGTCTTCCATCATCACCACAAAACACCA